CGGTCCGGAAGGGGGCCCGGCTTCCCCCCCCCTCCTCGTCGGCCCCGTTTAGCCGGTCTGCCGTTGTTGGGGGGCCCGAAAACTTTTTTTTCACCGGGGCCCAAACCCACTCTCGGCGGCCCTATCTGATGTCAGCCCAGTTCTGCAGCCTGACAGGAATCAGTGGTGTTGTCACCAATGTAAACATAGAATTCTTATTTACAGCCAAACTAGTCTAACATGCATTTTGTTAACTGGAACTGGCGCAGCAAAACAAAGAAAACAAATGGCTCATTTTCCAGCTGTGTTGGTGAGAAAACTATAAATGAAGATTATAATGCTGGATACTGAGGGCCTTAAAGTAGCTTCCTCGGGATTAGAATCGGCCAAGAACTGCTGAAAATAAGTTCCTCATTTTAGCAACGGAATTAAGACTTATCACACATCTTCCCGCCTTTATTCGAATGAAGTCCTTCTGATCTGACAGCTCAGGCATTGTCAGTTTCGTTCAGAACAATTTACAAACTTGGAACCTAATCCTGTAAACCCTTACTCATTTGATCAATCCCAGTGAAGACAATGAGACTATTTGCATTACTATGGATCACTTTTGTGGTAAGAATTTCAGGAGTCTGTTCCTATAAAGGAAGTTGAATGAAACGCAATGTTTGGGTATGATATCATAATGCAGTTTAGGATACAGTTCTACTTACAATTTGTCTTTTAAATACATATACACCCAATCCCCATATTCCATATAAACAGACTGAAATACTACATATGTGGGGGAAAATAAGTAGTTAAGCATGTTGATATTTGTATATACAAACACCCATTTAATCATGTACTGGAAACTATAGTTGAACTTAATTTTCTATGGAATTTGAATTAAGTTTAACAGCCCCAATTGTTTTGTGTTAATCAGACACATACATAACCTCATGAGCAGAGGGCGGAGAGGATACCCTCCCACATTATGACCAGCAAAAAAATAATAATAAAATTTGCAAACCTAAAAACCTGTGTTATGCTTTAAACCACCTCAGCACATACCAGGTTTATGAACATTAAAAAGTTTACAGCAAAGGAACACTGAAGCCCATTAACCTGAATGTGTCCCAGAATGCCTTCACTGACTAAAGGCGGGGTCATACTTGAACAGCTAAAAATTAACCGGCTCTTTTAGGCTAAACGGAGTGATGTCACTGGCTCCATCTCTGTTGTTACATAACAGATAACAAAACTCAGTGCGGCATGGTGCTGGCACATAGGGTCTCAGGTATGTGGTGTGATTTTTTCCCCAGAATCTCTTTTTGGAATAGTCATGTATGTGAAATAGCTGGTGCTTATGATTATGCTATTTCTATGCATGTATATTCATCTTGGTATCTGAAGTTATGAATATTAGCTATCTTTACTACATGTTTGCTCCTGTGGTAACACCCACAAGGTATTTAGCCAGCACATGAAGGGACAAGTCAAGTTGAATGGCCCATTAAGGAACACTTAGTGCACAATGGACCCTGGAAAATACCTGTCTACACTTAATGGACTGTTTCTGTGAATGTTCAAATTAGAATATGGGTGGGGGTGATGGACATGTAACTTGCCCATGTGACTCAAAACACCATCTTTCACAGTGAGAACAGATTTCCCTTCACTTGGCAGAAGGCAGGGGCCCCAGGCTGGGGGCGAGGTGGGGAAGACTCACATGGAGGGTCACGTGGGGCAGTCACGTCCCCCTTCCTTGTGTCCCTCCCATGAGTGCACTACCAGCAAGAAATGATTTCTACTTACACCACTGCTCACCCAGCACTACCAGGGGCATGCAGTGTTGATGTAGCCTTGAAGATCAGGATAATTCTTAAACAGGCAATGGAGACAGATTGAGAGCCTGAGGAAGGGGGGATATAGGCTGTGTGAGCACCTCATTCAGGAGGTCAGCTGCTGCTTTCTGCACAAGCTGGAGCCTCCGCATTGCTTTCACCTTCAAGTCCTGCTATGGCAAGCTGTAGTCCAGTGTGTAGCTGACAAATGAGTAGATCATTGTGGACAGATCCTGGTGAGCTGAAGGTGGAAGAAAATGTTTTGCTACTGGCATCGATAGTCTAATGCACCTACGTAGTTTATAGTCTTCCTCCGGCTGCATAACATAAGGCTTCAGGCTACAGAAGAGACTTATGGGAAAGTAAAAAGGGCTCAGCCATTTTTCTGATGGTCTTTTTAAAAATCACATATTTTAACCATGCAAATACTCCTGCTTTTAGATCAGGGGTTTCATTTCCTCCCATCATTTGTGCTCCTTTCCAATAAGGTTCAAATTCATTCTTAAATCTAACTGGTGGCTTGAGTCTATTGTGTAAATGAGCTTCACATGATTGGAGGGCATCCCCTTCTAGCAGATATTTCCCTAAACTACTCTATCCTATCTAATGGGACGGTATTTTTAATAAGGAAGGCACAATTCACTGGAACAGTAATTGGTCTCTTTTTCACATGGTCTAAGCTCTGTAAATAAGCAAAAACCCATAAGCCCACTCTTCATAGAGATCTGGTGGCTTTTGTTTCCTGAGAACAAAACTGATGTTCTATAGCTAACTTAACTTCTAATGAAATAATCAAATGGTAGTCACAGTTAAGTCAACCCTGTGTTACTGAAAATCAGTTACTAAAACAGTCTGCTATGCCCTATTCAGCCCAAGCTATCTGCTGCCTTCTGAGCTACCTCTGCTGTAGGAAGTTTCAGATACCAGCTCTGCAGCAGACTGATCTACTGTACAATAGAAACAACAAAAAGCTCCTGCAATGCCCAGAGTTTATAGCATAGTGCAGAGAAAGGAATGTTCATAGATACCTCCAACTTGCTATTAAGAAATGATCATCAGCCTTCCCCCAGTCCCTGATGTCCCACATCTGGGACTGTGTAACCCAAGATGTTGTTTTGACATCTTGTTATCCTAGGCCAAGTCTGAGAGATCAGTAATGACTGAGGACGAACCTACTTTCTGAATCACAAACAACACTTCCTGCAGCACTCTGGCTTTTCATTGGTGGTTTACCATTCATGTATTGATTAAGCTCATATTCATCTGCAGCCTGGTTTTCCTGTAGCTTGTATTATAGCAATTAAATGTGTGATGCCAACTCTTCCAACAAGATTTAAAGAGAAGTAGCTTGTAGAGAATGGGGGTGGGGTGGGGAGGGAGTTAGTTTGAGGAATGAGTAGGCAGACAAAATGCTACTTGGAGAGGGTTACAGGGTGACAGTGCCCTTCTCTTCTCCCTAATCATCATGAGTTTTTTAGGGGGAGGGACTTCAGACCCTGTTCCTGAAATGTTAGGACTAGCTTGGGCCACTCTATACCGATGCAGTCTCTTCCTGACTCTGTTATCTGCAGAGTCTGGGAGATATTGAGTATGCCCAACATTTGCCTGATGTTATCATCGATCCTGGTGTGAGGTGGATAAAGACTCTGTCTCTTAATAAGAGGGGAGGGCTATATTGGCACCAGCCTTACCTTCCTAAAGATCACTTGGTCCCACAGTCATGGAACCAGGCCACGGAGCAGATCTTCATAACGTGGCTTCACAAGATTTTGCCACAATATCTCTCTTCCACTACTAATTTCTATGAAGTGATTGAGACCAGTTACTACTTTTTGATATTCTGATTAATTTGAGCTAGATTTTTCTCCTGTTCCTGTCAAAATAAATCCAGGGTTCTGTGATTACATTTGAATCCTTACAGAGCTTGAGGCAGATGAAACAGATTAAAAGAGCTGGATCCTCGGCTGTTGTAAACTGGCATCGCTCCACTGACTTCCCAGGGTTGCCGTGCCACAGCATTCCTACAAGTCAAGTGGCCACAGACCAGTGAGAGCAGCGTGACATCTGGGGTTCATGTGGCCTACGTTTGGTATTCTGATATTTGATTTTTCTTTCTACTTGCCCTATATAAATACTGAAAAGAATATTTTAAGTTGTCCTACTTAGAGAGCAGACCAGAAAACTTCCTTTTCCTTTGACTTCTGCTTTACAACACAAGGCTCTGACTGCTGCCCCTTTTTGTTCTTATTAGAGAATTTTCCTCTTCTTGCTTCTACTAATATATTGAACTTCAGTATAATATTGCAGAACTATGCCAGGCAAATAAGTTTCTTCAACCTATTCTGGTGCTGTCACCACGTTGAAGGCCTATGATGCACTTGCAGAAGATGACTCAGATCAATTTGAATCAAGGGGCAAAAGAAACTAAATGTTGGTTTAAAAGATCAGTACTGTGATGAAGGGTTTACAGTTTCTCTATTTTTTACTATATTGTCAAGGTTCTAATGAAGCTTTTTTTTTCTAGTTTCAACTGCCTTTCTGAGACTCAAGACAAAAATTGCTGGTACTACTAGGCTTATGCTATGATTGTAAATTGCTACCACTTTACATTTGCTCATATTCTTATATCATCAATCACCCTCTCTGATTTAGCCCCAGCTGAGCTGGGTCTTCTGGGAGAAAGTGCAAAGGAGTGGGTAACTCCTTCAGAGCCACGTGCTTTCTGGATCAAACTGGAGAGAGGAAGCTTCATCAGGTAAAATAGTTCTCATGGGTATACCTACACTGCGATGTAAGCCTGTGCTTGAGCTTAAGACACTACAATTGCACTAACCCAGGACTCAGTTCCAGAAGAAAAGCAAAAGTCCAAGCAAAAGTCAAGCCGGGACCCAGGGTTCATACCCTATTGCTTTGCAGTATAGATGCAGCCCCACTTGACTCATGTCCCAGGAGTCTGCCAGAAATATCCTATAATTCCACAGGACAACTTCCTTAGTCTTTTCTATCTCAACACTTTGCAATCCACTGCATTGAAAACCGAATACACCCCACTCCTTGGCAAACAGTAGCTGCTCAGGTCAGCATTAACACATTCTCTTCTGATCACTGGTCTGCAAGCACTCTCTCAGAGAGCCTGAGTTCACAATGGAGAGCGAATCGATTGAGCCTTTTGCATATTGAGCTGCTTCATGGTCATGGCAGGACAGCCAAATTTTGGTGAATCTGGGGTGCCTGGGCAGTAAAACTGTGGACTTCAGTAAAAACACCAGGAATGATCACACACACTAGCAGATAGCTAAAAAGCTGACAAGTGAGCGTATAAACAGACTGAGGAGAGAGTACTGGACAAGGGTCCAGGGACAAGAACCGCACCTTGGGCAACTCACCAACAACATGCACATTATATGATGACTTTGACCAGGCCAACTTGGTCAGCTGGGATGGTGACCCGCTGGCCCCTGAACCCAGCATGGTAACTGATGGTAGCCAGCCGCAGGCTCCCCGTGAGTGACTTTTTTTTTTTTTTAATTGAAAACAGTGTCAGACCAGGCTGTGGATCAGGATCAACAGCATATTCTCGGTTCCTATTTGGAAAAGCTGTTTGATTTTTCTCACTCCGCACCTGCTCCAGTCTCCTCCCTACCCTGCAAGAAACAACCCACTGCTGAGACTGCAGAAAACTCAGTGGAGACAGAAGCTATCTCAGATCCGGTAAGTATATGACTCAAAATTACAGTTTATTACAGTAATGGGGGGGATTTCTGCTTTAAGCAGCAATACAAAAATGGCCCTGGCTACCAGCCTTTGGCCACTAATGGTGGATTGTATCATAGGGTGTAGGCTTCCTCTCCTATTCTCCCTCCCCCTTCCCCCAGTGTTGTTCAAAATGGTGACTTGGAATTTTAAACATTCATAAACAGCTGTAACAGTTATTTTACCTGTCAAGTCACAGAGGTTTGCTAGGGTCGTTCATGTTTCCCTTTCAATAATAAATTTGCCACTCTCTAATAACTCCTCCTGGGTCTAGGGAACCTCCTGTAAACAATTAACTGAGTGTGTGTATGTGTGCCAGGGGGAATGGGACGGAGAGTGTTTTATTTCCAAATCTAGTCTCTTTCAGTTAGAGGTAGTCCATGCAGTGAGGTCATGAAATCATTTCTCCAAATTACAAGTGGTGTGTCAGTCTTTTCCCAAACTGTGCTGGGTGCAGGGTGGGAGAAAGCTGCAGATTTCAGCATTTTTTTGCATGTAGCAATAAGAGGGAAAGCTATGTGTGAGCTAACACAGCATCATGTTAATTCCCTCATGGATTCTGACCCAATCCTGGATGCTGATAGCTGCAAACTTTTTCTGAAGCAGGAACTCCAGGTAGTCTCATTGCAGGGAGGCCTGGGAAATATGCCTTTCCCTGTATAGCTGGCTAGTCCACTCCACCCATATGTGTGCTGTTTGGTCACTATATGTTTGAATACTTCAGTTGCAGACATTGCAGATTTCCCTCCAGCAGCTAGGAATAACTTCTCCCTCTGCCAATAGGGCACCACAAGAACAGTTCTGTCTTCCAGAATATGCAAAGCCTGAAATGACAGAAAAAGCCTTTTGCAGCAAGGGCAATACACAATATGGCAGTTAGTTATGAAATGTTTTTGAAACAAAATTATTATTTTAAACTGCCTCCGCAGTCTGTAACTGCGATTAACTGGGCTGTGTACAGAGACAATATGATTGTTCTGTTTAGAAATGTTCCATTTTATGCCCTTAAGATTCCACAAAAATTAATTCTGTCCTCGTCCACTGAGCAAGTTTAGACAGTAACCCTGTTTCTTGTACTGTTTCAGGACCCTAAACCTATACTGCCTGCTGTTCTTCAGGAACTCGATCCCTGGCCCAACGTACCTTCATGGACTGTTCCAAAAAGAAGTGTTTCCATGATGTCATTATGGTCCATTATCCAAAGAAGAGGGTCAAAAGACTGGAACGATGGCATGATGATGGGCAGGAGGAAAGGCTGAGGTTCGCCACCCAGGACAGGGTTTCAGAGTGGGAGCAGGCACTTGCAAAGCAGTTCCTGGGATAGGAATCACGGCTAAGGGAGGAGGACAGAACTCAACAGAGAGAACTGTTTCAGCAACTTCTGTCCATAATGGCTTCAAGAGTCCCATCTCCTGCTGCCTCCCTAGCACCATGGCATGATCACCTTGCAACATACCCGCAGTCCAGCACAGGTGTTCAGGACAACTCCATGTTGGGGTGCCCCATGCATTTAGAACTCATGAGCTGGGCCATTTAGCTGGGCCAGGCAACTAAACTTCATGCAGTCTTCTTTCTTCAACTCCTCTCTGGTGGCAACATTCCCCGCCCACCCCCCCAACACCAAGTGAAATGTAAAGAAGGGAAAGGAGAACATGGGGTTAGGGGACACATAGTGTTATGGGGATTGTTGTGTATTAACTATTTCCTGCACTTTTCTTTGTGTGTGTGGTTTTGTAATCACAGCTGGCCTGCCCAACACTGTGTGAGTGTATTACTGTTTTTAAGACCTGCTCACAAATAAAGTGTGTTTATGCTTTCAAGAAAGTTTATTGCTCTTACTGCATCACATCATACAATCATGACTGTGAGATGATAAAGCTAAAAACATGTTGAGGAGCAATGAATCATTAGTAAGCAAACAGTATTCCTCTATTTAGCTAGGTACATTTCAATAAATTCAATCTGTACTCCCATTCTGCACCCATCCACCAAAATTCATTATTCACTATGTCATTCAGACTTACACTGAGTGGCAATCAAGCCCACCCCAAAAATGAGCCACTTTTTCCCCACAGTCACATTCCTACAGCTACTATTCCCCCTTTCTCATTGGGCCATGCAAATCCATAATGTGAGAACACAAAGAATCCCTGACTTCTGCTCTCTGGCTGCAACCAGCTCCAGCAGTGCAGAATCCCTGACTTCTGCTCTCTGGCTGCAACCAGCTCCAGCAGTGCGAGCTGCACTATCTGGCTGAGGGGACCGATTCAGCAGCCCCTCGCTGTCAGAGGTCCATTCAGAGTGAAATGGCTCACCTCTGGCTTCACAAAGGTTGTGAAGGGTGCAGCAAGCCACAGTAATGTGGATAGCATTCATGACCCCAGCATCCAAATGGGTTTGTAGACACCTCCAACGTGATTTTAATCTGCCAAAAGCACATTTAACAACCATTCTGCACCTGCAGAGAATGTAACCGAAACCATCTTTTGCCAGGGCCTCTGAAATCAGGGTATGGTCTCATAAGTGAAGGCAAAAGGGGGTAGAGAGAGTCCCCCAGAATAACGGTGGGAACAGACATCATTTATGACAGCAGTCAAATTTGTGGTGTGTGTGTGGGGGGGGTAGGGATTCTGGGATATGGGTACTTTGACTCAGGTCTGCACACTCCAGTGTGGATGCCAGAGCCCCAGGTGTAAGCACAGGTTAGATAAGTCTTGACGTAGGGTTAAAATACAGCGCAGACACTGAAGCTCAGGGTTCCCTAAAATAGGTCAGCTGACTCGAGCCCCACTAACCCTGGGCTTACGTTGCAGTGTAGACATACCCTTAGATTCAGGGGCTGATCTAAGCACTTTTCCCCCTTTCAGTTAGGAATCCCTGCCCCTTCTCCTTTGCCCCCAATTTAGCTGATCTGCAGCCAAAGTATATTACTCAGTTATTCAATGAATTTCTTATATTGGGCAAAACAAATAAGCAAGTAATCCTGAAATATATATATTAAAAAAAAAAAGCTTTTTTTCCTCTAAGCTGTGGGGGAGGGCTGGACAGAGAACTTTTCTTCAATTTAGAGAAGGGAAAGAGAAGAAAAGTTAACTAACTGAATACAAATACTTGCAAAGGTTCCAAGAGCAGGAGAGGTAATGAAATTAGTTGGGCAGGCACGTCCCCAGGGTTGTGTTGGTGGCATGGTAGGATTTTCTAAAATGCCCAAGTGGTTTAGGAACATAAACCTCATTGAATGTCAGCTTTTTTCAATGGGATTTCACAGATTTTAAGATCAGAAGTGATCATGATGGTCATCTAGTGTGACCTCCTGCATACTGCATGCCATTGAGCCTCACCCAAAAATGCCTGCATCAAGCCCATAACATGTGAATTTGTATTCATAAATCACTTACAGACAGATTTTTTTATTTAGGCAGGTAGGTGAGGGGGTTTTGTTTGTTTGTTTGTTTTGTTTTTGAAAATCCCACTAGGACCCCTAGATACCTTTAAAAAATCTGGTCCTTAGGCACTCTTGAAAAATATTACCATGTACTCCTTCAGGAGTTCTACTCTTAGGAATCCCTATTAAAAACACACGCACCAACAAGAGGATGGCAAGATATCACCTTTTTTTCTCATCATGGAACTTTCCTCAGAGACCTTCTTCTTACAACTCCAGGGAACTAAAGGAGCAAAACCAAACACATACAACATGTTCTCTTAAAAGGATAAAACCCACCCTCTCAGTGCTCTTGGTAAAATCACTAGTTGGTTAGTCTTATGTTGGTTTCTAGTGGTGCCAAATGTGGGAGTAATTTTTGTTGCAGAGTCCTCAAAGATGCCAAAGACTGAACTAGCACTTTTACTCTGGTGGTTCCTTTAAGCATGAAGAAATTTGAAGGGGGAGAAGCAGAGATTGTTGCATTCTTTATCCCACTGCCTCATGTTCTGTAGATAAAGGGTTTTGTTCTTGGCCGTCGGTCTGACATATTTCCTGAATGAGCACAGATTCACTTAAAATGTGGGAGAATGCATATCGTACTATATTTTTGTAAAAACAGTGATGCTGCAGAGATGTGTCCATTTCAAATGGAGATAGGTGAGCAATAAATTACAGCAGTCTCCATTTTCTTGAACGCAGAGCTTCATGTTTAACTCTTAGTTCAATAAATGAGGCATATTAATGAAAAGTAGGCCTTTGTGGTACATTGCATTATAATATAAAACTACAGTGAGTCACGACTCCTAAAATACTGCAAATATTTAGTTAAGTAAAAGAATAATTGAGGGAGTAGTTTTGACTAAACTGTCACAAAGAGTGTCTGCAATACTCCTGGATTAATCAGCTAACCTTTTCCACGTAGGTCCACTATAGTTTGCAAGAGTGCTTCTGAAGAAAAGCTCAACAAGATCTCTCATGTTGACTCTTTTACATCATCATTAACAGTGCTGTTTCCTTTCTTGATGTAACAATATGCTTTTCTGATCACGCAACTCATGAAATTCAAGCCAAAGCTGTTTTATGGGATCCTTTATTCTGGGGTGGGGAGAGTGCACAAAGAGTAGGTTTGGGTAACATAGCACTTTTGTGATAGATCAAAGTGGCTGCAGTTACTTTTACATCATCTCCTCCTTCATCTCAAACACTATCTGTAAGCATAAGAATAAAATTTAAAAAGACAATCTGGATGTACAGTAATGTGGATTTAAAGTGTTTTTACTTATATACAAGCTCAGCTAGGTGTGCTTAACCATCTGTTCAACTATTGCTTTAACAATGTGCTAATTGTCAACATTCTGCTAGGTCTCTCAGAATGATTCTGTAAGCAATTTAAAGACCGCTTAAGAGAGAGACTTTTGTAGCCCTCTGGTGGAATGCAATTTTACTTTTCCCCATCCCTATTTATCATGATCCAGAGTCAGTAAAGTTATGGTAGAGAGGCTCTGTATGTTAGCAAAGAGCACTGTAGTGAGGATAGCGGGATGAACTCAATTGAGCATCAGCACAATGGGTAGATTGCAACAACAGTAGCTGTTTAATCACTTCCTGAGAGAGCCTCTTAGGCGCTATTGTCACAGCCTCCCTATTGAAGCTAAACAAAGTGGGGTGGGGACACTGGATCAATTTGCTACTTTCAGAATAGGAATTCATAGCCCTGTCCCTTGGGTATTTTTAATTTGTGGTGTTTTTCTCTGATGAACACATATAGTGTTTTGGGTCTCTGCCCAACCTCCTTTGTAGTTAGTGCCTGCCACATTTCCAAGAGGCTTGCTTAACTAGCTTTTTGCCTGGTTGCTCTGGTATGCACATATTCCAGAGTTGGTTGCTACAGTATCTGACACTACATCTAATGCCTCTTCTGCTTGCGAGAGCTTTATGAATGTGTGTGGTGTTATACCACCGATGTATGCAGCTTATTTGATCTTGGTGTGCTTCCTGCAACAGTTTACTGGAGATGTTTATCTTCATGCATTTCAATGTGGCAGTAGCTGTGCATTGCTCTCCCTCTTTTCCAAGTAGCTCATCAATTTTCCTTGATTTCTTTTTGTGTGTGCAGCAGGGGTCAATCTGGCTCAGTGTATTTTGTAGATGTGCTGTGCTGGATATGGGATAGGGAGGGCAGAGAAAGAGGTTTTAAGCAGATAGTTTAGTCAAGGCTGAAATCACCCTGTGTTCAAAATTACTGAGATATGTCCATGTGCATTTTAATGTTCAGCTCTGTTTAAATGTAAAAGGTAGAGCTGCAGGATTTGCACAAGGGAGAGCCCTAAACTGGTCCTCTATCTTACTTTATCATGCAGCAAAAAGTCAGCAAGTGCACTTTAAAATTGAAATATGGTTCAGCCAAAGGCTCTCGACAATAATCACAATATAAGTTGTTCCTTTGTCTTTTTGTTAATCTTTGATGTCGTGGGCCAAGAAACATAGAATTAGCCTTAAAAAAGCCACTTCCTCTCTTAGGACTTAATTCTTCCCTTGGTTACACATGTGTGTCTCATTGACTTCTCCGGTTGTTATGCAAGTGGAATCAAGGTCAGAACATGACCTGTAGATTTTGAAAACAAAAGTGGAGTTTCATCTGTGTTCATATCCTTTTAAACTAATACTTTGGAACTACAAGATACTGTTATCCATAAGGATGTTTTGTAGGCTGTACGCTCTCTTGCTGGCACTGCCGTAACTTCCTTAGATTTCCCACAATATCCTTATCTGACCACTAGGTGTCACCGAAAGACTGAAGTAAATATCTGAGATAAATGTATATGAATTTCTCTCAGAATCTGTGGGTGTTCTTTATTTAAGGTGGCCCAGGAGAGTTTAAGAAAGGTGACATTACCCAGCAAGTATGTATGCATAATAATAATAAAAGCCAAGCGAGACGTTATTTTTGCCTCACTAGTTGTACTTGTATTGTTCTATATAAAATATTTTTATGAGCAGTTTGTTAATATGTATTAAAATTATAGCTATTTCCTCTTTCTCTCATCTACACAACACCCAGTGTAATACATAGCTGTGATACTTTATTGCTTTGCACACACACTCGCACGTACATTAAACATCCAATGTAAAGCAGTGCTCTACTGCTTCCTATTGCTATTGCTGTATTGCTAGCCCAGAACTTCCAAGGTTCTGAATACTTCCTGAAAGATGGCGAGTACCCTCAGCTCTCACTGAAATGAAATGAGAGGTGAGGGTGCTCAGAAGATGCACGTTCAAGCTTTCATATTCCTCAGTAAACTGGACTAAACTCTAATGCACGGTCCCTGGATTGTGTGGCATCCTGGTACGA